ATAAGTCCAGACACAGGTGACATCAGAATTTATGGGGAATTAGATTTTGAAGAGAATAATGCGTATGAAATTCACGTTAGTGCTATTGATAAAGGAATTCCTTCCATGGCAGGTCATAGCACGGTCCTGGTGGAAGTTCTGGACCTGAATGACAATCTTCCTGAGGTAATAGTCACCTCACTGTCGCTCCCCGTTCGAGAGGATGCTCAGTTGGGCACCGTCATCGCCTTAATCAGCGTTTCTGACAGAGACTCTGGGGCCAATGGGCAGGTGACCTGCTCACTAACACCAAGTGTAGATTTCAAGCTGGTGTCCACCTTCAAGAATTACTACTCTCTGGTGCTGGATGGTGTCCTGGACCATGAGAGAGTGTCAGAATATATGCTGGTGGTGACAGCCCGTGACGGGGGCTCGCCTTCTCTGTCGGCCACAGCCAGCGTGTCCGTAGAGGTGGCCGACGTGAACGACAACGCGCCAGCCTTCGCGCAGCCCGAGTACACAGTGTTCGTGAAGGAGAACAACCCGCCCGGCAGCCACATCTTCACGGTGTCTGCGCACGACGCGGACGCGCAGGAGAACGCGCTGGTGTCCTACTCGCTGGTGGAGCGGCGGGTGGGCGAGCGCGCGCTGTCGAGCTACGTGTCGGTGCACGCCGAGAGCGGCAAGGTGTACGCGCTGCAGCCGCTGGACCACGAGGAGCTGGAGCTGCTGCAGTTCCAGGTGAGCGCGCGCGACGCGGGCGTCCCTCCTCTGGGCAGCAACGTGACGCTGCAGGTGTTTGTGTTGGACGAGAACGACAACGCGCCGGCGCTGCTGCCAACTGGGTCGGGCGGCGCGGGCGGCGCGGTGAGCGAACTGGTGCCGCGGTCGGTGGGCCCTGGCCACGTGGTGGCGAAGGTGCGCGCGGTGGACGCGGACTCTGGCTACAACGCGTGGCTGTCGTATGAGCTGCAGCCGGTGACGGGAGGCGCGGGCAGCCCGTTCCGCGTGGGTCTGTACACGGGCGAGGTGAGCACGACGCGCGCCCTGGACGGGGTGGACGCTCCGCGCCAGCGTCTTCTGGTGCTGGTGAAGGACCACGGGGAACCGCCGCTGATGGCCACCGCCACTGTGCTGGTGTCGCTGGTGGAGAGCGGCCAGGCGCCGAAGACGTCGTCGCGGGTGTCTGCCGGCTCCGCAGGTCGGGAGGCGGCGCTGGTGGACGTCAACGTGTACCTGATCATCGCCATCTGCGCGGTGTCCAGCCTGCTGGTGCTCACGCTGCTGCTGTACACGGCGCTGCGGTGCTCGGCGCCGCCGACAGAGGGCGCGTGCGGGCCGGGGAAGCCCACGCTGGTGTGCGCCAGCGCGGTGGGGAGCTGGTCTTACTCTCAGCAGAGGAGGCAGAGGGTGTGCTCTGGGGAGGGGCCGCCCAAGGCCGACCTCATGGCCTTCAGCCCCAGCCTCCCACCATTACGAGGAGATTGCTTAAATCCTTCCAGTGACGTAAGTTATTTACAAAACTCAAAATACTTATTATTTTTTTAAAATTTGCTTTTTGGTAAAATGATCTATTTTTTTCTATTTTCCTCATTACATTTTCTTTTAAAGCACTCAATATGTATCTCTTCTGTCATATGGTCATTCTTAGTCATTGGGAACCTTTCGTGTGTTTGCCCAACACTGATTTTAATGAATGAAATATTTAACTAGATGAAAGTTCACCACATTTGAAATTTTTCTCGTTCTATTGTTTATCCTGTTATATATGAATGATTAGCTTTGAAAATATACTGATACGTTACAGTAAAATCTACCCAGGTGTTTGACACATCTTAACAAAAAATTGAATATAATTTCAGGAATACGGAAGAGTTGCAAGAATAGTACAAATTTCCTAGATATTAGTTGAATTTTCACTTGTATTCTTTCTATTTACATTCTAACACATAGGCCTTTTTTTTTAAAAATGAATTGTTTAAGATTACGTTGTGGACACAGGCATATTTTATAATGAGGAGGCCTGAACAAACCTATATACCTAAAGCACTAGAACAGTGCTGGCATATGCAAACACAACGCAACCACTGCCTTGGAGTCGTATCTGACTCATAGCGACCCCTCCTTGGGTTTCTGAGGTGGTATCACTATGGAAGTAGATTGCCCAACCCTCCTTCCCAGGAGTGGCTGGTGGGTTTGAACCTTCTGGTTAGCAGTCAAGTGCCTTAGGCACTACGCTACCAGAATTCCCAGCTGGCATATATGAGTGTTAAAGGAAAAAAGAAAAGAGTGTTGTTTCTTCCCTCATTGTTGTCTATACACATTTCTCCTTTTTCTTGTGTGTACTTAATCATAATATATAATTTTTATTTAGATTACTTTTTAAGCTAAAATTATAAGTGAAGCATTTAGTATGTGAAGAGAATGAATTGTTTAATATTTATTCCATAAGCTTATATTTGTGTAGGATATATCTCATTTTTGCATTAGGTACTTTAATCTTATCAGATAGAAAACATGGGCTATGCTGCATTCAGAATAATAAAGGTCATTGTCTTTTTAGGCACAATTATCAAGTCAGACCTACTTTCTAAGTAATTCCCAGGTAATGATTTTGGTTAATAATTTTGCACTCTATCCTCTTTTTTCTTATAATTTAGCATTCAAGAATACTACTGTTGTCTTATTTAATTATCATATAGGTCCTATAGTGCAGCTACTATAATTATCATCCCCATTTTTCAGATAAGAAACCTGATGCTTAAGCCACATAGATAGTGAGAAGTTGCTCAAAGTTAGTTTTGGAGGATTCCAAACCCATTATGGTCTGTGCCTATTACCAGGAATCTTCTAGTGTTGCATTTCAAGTCTTGCAACTTTCTTCAACAAAAGTACCTAAAGTCTTCTTCTTGACCAGAGAATAAAACCTTAAGTCCCTCAGGCTGGTATGAAGACATTAAACTTTACTGTTTGTTTACCATTCTCTTATATCTTTAGTTCAGGACATAAATCAGTAATAATTATATGCTACTGGTATGGTACATTGTATTGTAATGTGCTGTCTGGGCAATTCTCTCCTTCCTAGAAGTGCTCATAATTTTCAGAGATTAGGTAATTTTTCATTGACACATGCCTTGAAGGGTAGATTACAGCACAACAGGAAGGTATTACAGATGGGAAGGTAAGTAGGAACAAATGAGCAGAACTTTCTCTGATAAATATGTACTTGAATAATGGAAACAAGTGAGATTCTGGAGGCAGGGATGGAAGCTAGTAAAATCTTTTATAATTAATTAGATGTCAGTTAACAGAGAGTTAAATTATGACAGCAGAAATGGATTGAAAAAAAAAAAAAAAAACAAAAAACAGGTACCAAAGGCAATGGCAAAGTAGTCAGCCAGATAATGATCGATTCAATACAAATGATAAAAGAGACACAACAGTAGAAGATGACATACATTTTTCAGTTTGGTCAACTGGCAGGATGAGATTTCCATTAACCATGATGCAGAACAGAGTTGGAGATAAGATTTTTTTTTTTTTTTTTTGTGTGTGTGTGTGTGTTCATTGTGCAGGTAGGAAATAGGAAGGAGTGAGAAATTTAATTTTGGAAATGTTGCTCTTGAGTTTCTAGGAGGATAGCATTGTGATTGAAAATATGGGTCTGGAACTCAGGGGGAAATTATAGATATAGATTTGGGAGTAATTCTCCTAGAGAAAAAAACATGAAACCATGAGAGTGTAAAATCACTGAGAGAGACTGGAAATGAAAAACATGTCCAAGTAAAGAATTTGACTGGGTAGGTATGTTGGTTCCTGGGGCTGCCAATCCTGAGTAGTTTAAAACAACAGAAATTTGTTTGCTCATGGCTCTGAGGGCCTCCAAAATCAAGGCATCAGCACAGCTGCACTTCTTCTGCAGGCTTTAGGGGAGAACCCTTCTCTTCCGGTTTCTGGAGTTGTTCCTTGGCATTCCTTGGCTTGTGGCTGCACCACTCGAACCTGTGCTTCCCTAGTCACAATGCCTCCTCCTCTTCTCTTTCTTCCCCTTTTCTCTGTGTCTCTTGTCTTCTGTGGGACTGTCTTACAAGGATCCACCTGATTGCATTTAGGACCCACAGGATAATCCCAGATAAATTATTCCTCTCAAGACCTTTAACTTAAAGAAATCTTTTCCTACATAAATTAGTATTCACAAGTTTTGAGGATTAGAATGTGGGCATATATTTTCAGGGGCCACCACTCAACCCACTACCAAAACCACTGCCATCGAGTCAATCCTAACCATAGCAACCCTATAGGATAGAGTAGAATGGCCCCATTGGGTTTCCAAGGCTGTACATCTTTACAGAAGCAGACTGCCACATCTTTCTCCCATGGAGTGGCTGGTGAGTTTGAATCTCTGATCTTTTGGTTAGCAGCCAAACGCTTTAACTACTGCACCACCAGAGCTCCTTCCTCAGGAAAAGCAAGTTTAAATAAATATACATTATATTATGTACATAAATTATATATAAATATGTTCGAATATATTAAAAATGCATATTCCAAATAGATATGCAAAGTGTACATGGAATATTCTTCTCTTAAAATTCTGCACGGAAGTTTTACACATCCATAAATAAATTGGTGGAAAAATGGAACTCCTCAAGCAATTGTCAACTAGCATCCAAAGCTGAGCAAAATGCACTAATTTATTTTTATTTTAGGAAAACATTTCCTCTTCAATTAGGTATTTTCAATGAAAAACGTCAGGAAATGCACAAAAACAAATTACATCAATTGAAAATACGAAGACTGAGTCACTCGTACACTTACACACTCATGCACTTGGTGTCGCTCTTCACTGAGAATGTTTCCGCAAGGACCGCGCCACTCTCTTACTCCAGAGACTTTGGCAGATAGCGGAAAGATCTTTGCGAATCCTCTCGCAATAGAAGGTGGTTAAATTGGATTTTGAGGCAGTTTGTGGTAAGACATTCTGTATACTTCTGATGTCTCGGAAGCCTTTTCAGTGTACCATGGTATTTTCCTGGGGAGGAGGCCCGCGAGCCCCACGTCTGCTGCTCTGGCTTCTGCTCCTGGCAGCCTGGGAGACTGGGAGCGGCCAGGTCCACTACTCCGTCCCCGAGGAGGCCAAGCACGGCACCTTCGTGGGCTGCATCGCGCAGGACCTGGGGCTGGAGCTGGCCGAGCTGGTGCCGCGCCTGTTCCGGGTGGCGTCCAAAGGCCGCGGGGACCTTCTGGAGGTGAATCTGCAGAACGGCATCCTGTTCGTGAATTCCCGGCTGGACCGCGAGGAGCTGTGCGGGCGGAGCGCAGTGTGCGGCGTCCACCTGGAGGTGATCGTGGAGAAGCCGCTGCAGGTTTTCCACGTGGAGGTGGAGGTGAAGGACATTAACGACAACGCGCCGGTATTCCCTGAAAGTGAGAAAAGAATAAGCATTGGGGAACATAGACCACCGGAAACTCGGTTTCCACTAGATGGCGCTTCCGATGCAGATATTGGAGTAAACTCGGCCTTGATCTACCGACTCAGTCCCAATGACTTTTTCGCTTTGGACACACAAAACAATCGTGAGAAAACGTCTTCATTATCACTTGTGCTGAGGAAATCATTGGACAGAGAGGAAATTCAGGAACATAGTTTATTATTAACAGCCAGTGATGGAGGGAAACCGCAGCTGACTGGCACAGTCCATTTGCTAATCACGGTGCTGGATGTGAATGATAACGCTCCAGAATTCGACCAATCTATTTATAAAGTGAGAGTGCTAGAGAACGCATTTAATGGAACATTAATGATCAAGCTAAATGCCACAGATCCCGATGATGGCACAAATGGAGACATAGACTACTCATTCAGAAGGCCTGTATCACCTTCAGTGGCACATGGATTTACCATAAATCCCAGTAACGGAGAAATTAGGACAAAAGGTAATCTGGATTTTGAAGAAAATGAATTGTATGAAATAGCCGTGGAGGCCGTTGACAAAGGGAATATTCCAATGGCTGGTCATTGTACCGTTTTAGTGGAAGTACTAGATGTAAATGATAACGCTCCAGAGGTCAGCATCACTTCCCTGTCACCCTCACTCAGAGAGGACGCTCAGCCTGACACCGTCATCGCCCTGATCAGAGTGTCTGACCGGGACTCAGGCGCCAATGGTCAGGTGATCTGCTCCCTGACACCCCATAGCCCCTTCAAGCTGGTGTCCACCTTCAAAAACTATTATTCGCTCGTGCTCGACAACGCTTTGGATCGCGAGAGGATGTCGGCCTATGCTCTGGTTGTAACAGCGCAGGACTGGGGATCGCCTTCCCTGTCGTCCACAGCCAGTGTCTCGGTGCAGGTGGCCGACGTGAACGACAACGCGCCCACCTTCGCGCAGCCCGAGTACACGGTGTTCGTGAAGGAGAACAACCCGCCCGGCAGCCACATCTTCACGGTGTCTGCGCACGACGCGGACGCGCAGGAGAACGCCCTGGTGTCCTACTCGCTGGTGGAGCGGCGGGTGGGCGAGCGCGCGCTGTCGAGCTACGTGTCGGTGCACGCCGAGAGCGGCAAGGTGTACGCGCTGCAGCCGCTGGACCACGAGGAGCTGGAGCTGCTGCAGTTCCAGGTGAGCGCGCGCGACGCGGGCGTCCCTTCTCTGGGCAGCAACGTGACGCTGCAGGTGTTCGTGTTGGACGAGAACGACAACGCGCCGGCGCTGCTGCCAACTGGGTCGGGCGGCGCGGTGAGCGAACTGGTGCCGCGGTCGGTGGGCCCTGGCCACGTGGTGGCGAAGGTGCGCGCAGTGGACGCGGATTCTGGCTACAACGCGTGGCTTTCATATGAGTTGCAGCCCGTGGCGGGCGGCCCAGGCAACCTGTTCCGCGTGGGCCTGTACACGGGCGAGGTGAGCACGACGCGCTCCCTGGATGAGACCGATATGCAGCGGCAGCGCCTTCTGGTGCTGGTGAAGGATCATGGGGAGCCGCGGCTGACAGCCACGGCCACGGTGCTGGTGTCACTGGTGGAGAGTGGCCAGGCGTTGAAGAAGTCGTCATGGGAGTCATCGGGAGCCGAGGTCCGGGAGGCGGCGCTGGTGAATGTCAACGTGTACCTGATCATCGCCATCTGCGCGGTGTCCAGCCTGCTGGTGCTCACGCTGGTGCTGTACACGGCACTGCGGTGCTCGGCGCCGCCGACAGAGGGCGCGTGCGATCCGGGGAAGCCCATGCTGGTGTGCGCCAGCGCAGTGGGGAGCTGGTCTTACTCGCAGCAGAGGCGGCAGAGGGTGTGCTCTGGGGAGGGGCCGCCCAAGACCGACCTCATGGCCTTCAGCCCTTCACTTCCTCCTTGTTTATGTTCTGCTGAGGAAACTGGCCAGAGGGAAGCGGATTCAGAACATTTGAAAGAGGTGAGCTTGAATTTAAAATTGTGGTATCATTTTGACCTTCCTTATAGCGGTCCGTTATAAGCATTAGTGTTTGTAAGGAACATAATAGACAAATCTCTCTCTTTAAGGAGGTTACAGCCTCTCTCTTTTAGTTTAACAACATTTTATTATTTTAGGTGAAAGTTTACACAGCTAATTAAGTTCCCCTTTAACAGTTTATGCAGAGCTGTGGTGGCGTAGTGGATAAGACACTTGACTGCTAACCAAAAGGTCAGCGGTTCAAATCCACCAGCTGCTCCGCAGAAGGAAGACTGGGCGATCTACTTCCATGAAGATTTAGAGCCTTGGAAACCCAATGGGGATCGCTATGAGTCGGAAATGACTCGATGGCAGTGAGTTTGGTTTTCTGATTTAATAATTTATATACAAACTGTTCCTGCCATTGGTTACAGTTTTCACAATGTGTCAGCATTGTCATTCTTTCCATTCACCATTTAAATCATTTTCCGTTGATTTAGTTTCCCTTCTCCTCTTTGCCTTTTCACCTTTGTTTTTGGGTAAATTTTGAATGGTTGGTTTCAATAGTTCATTAATGAGGGAGCACATTACTCACGGGTGATACTATTTTGTAAGCCAATCTATTATTTGTTTGAAGGGTGACCAATTTCATGTTCAAAGGTTATTTTAGGGCAAAAATCTCAAGGGTTCCATTAGTCTCTTTAAGTACAGTATGTCCAGCCTTTTTAAGGACTTTTGTTTTGTTCTACATTTTTCTTCCATTCTATCCAAGACCTTTTTATTGTATCCCTGGTCAGACAGTTGGTATTGGTAGCTGGGCACCATCTAATTCTTCTAGTCTCATGTTTGAAGAAATTGTAGTTTGTGTGGGCTGTTTGTCCCATGGATTGTTTTCTCCTTTGATCCTTTGCTTTCCATCATTCTCTTTTGCTCCATACAAGTAGAGAACAATAGTTATATGTGAAATAGTCACTTGCAAGCTTTTAGGATGCTACTCAACAAACTTGGATGTAGAACTTTATCTTTGTGAACTATGTTATTACAATTGGCTAAATTGTCCCAAGATTATGCCTTAGGCCCTTGAGCCAGTAAACCAATCCCATGAGTTGGCTGGATATGTCTAGGAAGCCTCTGTAACTCTGCCCCCTATGTGGTTTGTTATGTATGTGGATATATATCCAGCACGCATAAATGTGTATATACATATGCCTATAAATACACCTGTGCATGCATGTGCATTTACTCATGTATGCCTCTCTATACCTATGTATACATCCATGTCTATCCATGTTGTTGTTATTGTTATGTGCTGTCGAGTCGGACCCGACTTACACCGACCCCTCCTTGGGTTTCCAAGGCAGTATCACTACGGAAGTAGATTGCCCAACCTTCCTTCCTAGGAGTTGCTGGTGGGTTTGAACCACGAGCCTCTGGTTAGCGGTCAAATGCCTTAGGCACTATGCTACCAGAGCTCTGATCCATGTTACCGCACACATATTTTCTGTTTATACTGTTGTTGCAATATTGTACATAACATTTACCATACTTGTCCTTTTTCTCCTGTTCTTCTTAGTGCCTTTATTTTCCTTGGTCACATTGTGTTAACTTCACCCATAGTTGGTATTGTTTTCCCCATTTTTGGACTGGATTGTTTGTCTTTTGTTGTTGAGTTATTGAAGTTTTCTGTATGTTTTAGAGATCAAACTCTCAACAGATGTCATTGCCAAAATTTTTTCCCCAAGTCTGGAGTTTCTCTTTTTACTCCTTGGTAAGGTCTTTCAATAGACATTAAATATTTAATTTTTAGGAGCTCCTAGTTATCTATTTTATCTTCCTTCATCCACACATTTTAAGTTTTGTTTGATAGGTTATTTATTCCTAGAATTAGGTCCCCTAATACTAACCCTATGTTATCTTCCAGGAACTTTATAATTTTGCTTTAACATTTAGGTCTTTGATCCATTTTGAGTTAGTTTTCATGCATAGTGTGAAGTATGTATCCTGTTTAGTTTTTCTGCATATAGAGAATCCAGTTTCGCCAGCATCATTTGTTAAAGAGACTGTTTCTTCTCTAGTGAATGGACTTTGAGCCTTTGTTGCAGATCAATTGCCCATAGAGGGATGGGTTTACTTCTGGGTTCTCAATTCTGTTTCATTGGTCTATGTGTCTGTCATGGTACCAGTAGCAGGCTGTTTGATCACTGTGGCTGTATAGTAAGTTTTGAGATCAGGGAGTGTGATGCCTTCTACTTTGTTTTTCTTCATGTTGTTTTAGCTATTCAAGGCCTCCCTCCTTTCCTTATAAAGTTGGAGATTATTGTTTTCTGTTTCTTTAAAAAAATGTTATTGAGATTTGAATTGGGATTGCATTGTATCTATAGATTGTTTTTGGTGGTAGTAAGATTTTCACAGTGTTAAGTCTCCCAATCCATGAGCATGGAATGTTTTTCCATTTATGTAGATTTCTTTTAGTTTCTTGCAGTAGTGTTGTTAGTGTAGTTTTCTTTGTATAAGACTTTTATGTTTCTGTTTAGGCTTATTCCTAGTTGGTTTTTTTTTTTTTGGTGGGGGGAGGCTATTATAAATAGCCCTTTGATTGTTCTCTTGGTTGCCCTTTTAGAACCCTCTGCATAGAGGATCCCTACTGATTTTTTTTTTTTTTTTTGGTGTGTGTGTTGATCTTATACCCTACCACTTTGCTGAGTCCTTCTATTTGTTCTAGTCACTTTTTTTGTGGAGTCTTTGGGCTTTTCTGTGTAGAGGATCATGCCATCTGTGACTAAGGATAGTTTCACTTTTGCCTTTCCAGTTAGAATTCCCTTTGTTTCTCTCTCTTGTCTTATTGCTCTATCTGGAACTTCCAGTACAATACTGAGCAAGAGTAGTGAGAAGGTGCACCGTTTAT